ACCAGTATTATTTATTTACTTATTATATTTATATTTATTTCTTTATTATTTGTATATATTGTATGAATGAGAACTTGTAGCCCTAATGCTTATAGCCCTCCAGCAGTGGCTGATTGTATTATTATTCAATAAACAGATTAAAAAAAAAAAAAAAAAATATGTATGTTTTGTAACTTAACAATTCTGTTGGTAAATATTTCCTTAAATAACTTTTATTTTTCATGTGTTTTTAACCTTCCAGGAGAGATAATTTTCCTCTAGGAATCCAGCAAGTTGTTTCTAAATTTAGTATAAATCGCTGTCCATCGGTAATGGATTTTATTAATTGATGGATTTCTTCGATTTAATTAGCACTAAGTATAGGAACTTGCTCAAAGGTGATTACAGTGCATTTAAGTTTACCAATATGAAATTGAGCTTAAGTGCTCCAGGAAACCATAATTTTTTTTTTTTGTCTAATCCTACAAATAATTCTTTCCTCAAGTTGGAAGGTTTGCGTGTAAAATTAATCAAGTTAGTCAAATTGTTTTATCGTTTTTGGGTCCCTTTAGAGAAAAGTAGCCTGAGTAGGCTTTCAGAATTCTTCCGTTTTAGATCCTATAAAACCCTGATTCGAAGAATGGAGTTAGCTCGTTGATGACTTCTATAAGATAATACTTTCCCATCGCTGTCACAGTTTTATTCAAAGCTTAAATGTAAATAATAATAATAATACATTAGTTTGATAAGAACAATGCGTTTCATGAAATAATATTGAGCCATCAATCACCAATTATTAGTTGTTATGATACATTCTATTATTCATGAGCTGTTCTCGTGATAAAGTACTAGTTAATGAATTGAATACTTTGAACTCACATATCGATTCTTTAAACCTTTTCATGCAAAATAATTTCAAAAAGAAGTCAAGTGCCGAAGTTATATCAAATCTGGAGAGAAATATCTGGCGACAACTTGCAAGACAGGACAAGTTCCTAAACTCAGCGTTTAGCTCATCGGTGACACCGGATCCGTCTCTTTTTTTTTTTTTTTTTTTCCTCTTTGTTTTTTAATTCACAACTTTCAATGTCCACTGACAACCAGTGAATGAGATAACTGTACAAATAGACTAGGAGAAAGGGCATGATAGGCATGAGGAAGAGAAAAACCCAGTGGTTTATCTTCAGTCATGTTTGAGGCTAATTAAGGAGATCTCTCATCCAACTCCTTTTCAGCCTTCTGCGGATGTTATCGGGCATGTTTTTATTGGCCATGTCTTGGATGAGTCTATTGGGGTGACCATAGAGCTTGTTGTGAAACCTTTTGTAGTAAGTTTGAATATGTTCTGTGACGGTTTGCATGTGTAAGTCTTTGTGGAGAGTTATGTTACTAACATACCAAGGTGCTTGAGTAATTGTTCTGAAGGTTTTGGCCTGGAATATTTGTAATTTCTTAATGTGAGTTTTTTTGGCAATTCCGTATATTTGTGATGCGTATGTCCAAAGTGGTTTTAGTAAGTAAGTGTAAGTGTTAAGTTTTTGTCTTAGCTTTAGTTTTGAGCGACGTCCCAGTAGGGAATATAATAGTCTAAATCGTTGATTTAGTGTCTTTCGCTTAGCAGTGATGTGTGGGCCCCATGTCATCCTTCTGTCAAATGTTAGGCCTAGGTAATGTACTTTGTCAGATTGGGGAATATGTTCATTGTCAAGATAGACAGGAGGGCAGTTTTCGCGTCGGAGTGAAAATGTTATGTGTTGGGATTTGTTGTGATTTAGTTTTATTTTCCAAAGTTTGTACCAGTCGTGTAAGATTTGCAAGTGATTTTGTAAAGTATATGAAGCATGTGTGGGGTCATTGTGCCTTGTGATAATAGTAGTGTCATCAGCATAGGTGGCTATCAAAGTGTCACTGGAGAGGGGAATGTCATGCGTGTAAATTATGTAAAGCAGTGGTGCAAGAATTGATCCCTGGGGCACTCCGGCCAGAATTGGTCTGATAGTTGAGATTTCAGAGCCTTGTCGAACAGAGAAAAATCTATCAGAGAGGAATGATTGTAATATAAGATAGTAAGTGGAAGGAAGTATTTTCTTAAGTTTATAAAGAAGTCCCTGGTGCCAGACCCTGTCAAATGCCTCAGCAACATCCAGAAATACACCAGTAGCATACATCTTTTGCTCTAGTGCTGTTGCTAAGTAATCTATGACTCTGTGTAACTGTTGAGTGGTAGAATGTAATGATCTAAATCCAAATTTATGATCGGGTAAAATTTTTTGCTCTGTTAATAAAGTGTGGAGTCTGTTATATAGTAATTTTTCAAATATTTTGGCACAAGTAGGAAGTAGACTGATAGGTCTATAAGCTGAAGGGGAAGAAATTTCTTTACCTGGCTTATGAATCATGGATATGTATGAATACTTCCATTGAATAGGAAATTTGGCAGTCCTCAGTATAGAATTAAATATGGTAGTTAGAAACACCAGAGCTTTCCTGGGCATTTGCTGGAGCACTTCAGCATTTATTAAGTCATAACCAGGGGTTTTCTTTCTTTTTAACATTTTAATTTGTTTTGCAACCTGAGATGGGGAAAAGGAGGTGGGAGGAGGGGTTAATTGTAATGGAGTGTCCAAGGAGTTGAGTACAAGGTTATCGTGTTCAATGTTCGCTAGATTAATATGTGGAGTGAAAACTAATGAGAGGTGATTTGCAAAAAGTTCTGATTTTTCTGTGTCCGACACAGCCCAGGAGCCATCATCTTTACGAAGTGGTGCTGACACCTGCCGGTGTTTTAGCAGCTTTTTTGTGTGTCTCCACAAGCTTCCATCGTCTGTTGAAAGATTGTTGATGTATATGTCATACTTTTCACTTTTCTCGGTTGAATTTTTGTATTTGTCGTTTTAAATGGTTGTTTAGTCTGTTAAATGCCTGTCTATATGATGGGAGTCTGTTCGTCTGCCAAACTTTTCGAGCTCTTCTCTTGGCTCTGATCAGGTCCCTTATGTATTGTGGATAGTTTGGTAGATTTCCTGTAGTCCGAGGTTTGGGTACTGAAGATGTCCAAGCTGCTTCTTGGATGCTTTTTGTGAAAATGTCTACAGCTTCCTCCAGTTCTTCTTGTGTTTTGATAGACACTGGGATGGAAAGAGCAGTGTTCAGGTTATCCCTGTAGCTATCCCAATCCATTGTTCCATTGCTAAGAGATGGTTTTCTTATTGCCTCACATGGTTCATCCAACAGCAGCAGATTCACAAGGGAATGATCAGAGCAAAGGTCGGTGCTAGTATTGACTGAATGTGGTATAGTTTTTAGTCCTTTGGTGATAAAGAAGTCCAAAAGGTCAGGTGTTTTATGTCTAGAAGTGGGCCAGTAAGTTGGAGAGTTTGGAGTTATTGTGTCCAAGGAAAGCTCGTGAAGGGCTATCCTAAGATTCCTTCCCCTTGGAGTACAGAGTCGAGACCCCCACAACTGGTGTTTTGCGTTGTAGTCTCCTCCAGCGATGAAACAGCTTCCTAGGTGTTTGAAGAAACTACAAAACATGGCAGGTGTCAGAACATACCTAGGGGGACAGTAAATTGAAGCAAAGGTGATAGTGTTGTGTCTAGTATACATTGTTATGCCTGTGGCTTGGATGTCAGGTGTTACTGGTAATTGTAGTGGATTATGTTTTATTGTGGATTTTATTAGTATTGCAGTGCCACCATGAGCCGTGCTGTCTGGATGGTCTGTTCTGTAAGTTTTGTAGCCTGAGATGTAAAATTTGGTTCTTGGTGTCAAGTGAGTTTCAGTGAAAAGAGCGATGTCAATTCGTTTCTTATGTAGATATAAGTCAATTTCAGTTTTATGTTGTGTCAGACCGTTAGCGTTCCACAGAATGATGGACAGGGAGCCTACAGTGAGAGAATTAAGGGGCATACTGGGGGAGTAAGACCTGAGTCATCTGTGAGATTTGTTGCAGAAGGCTGTAAAGGGGTTGCATAAGATTGTTTAGATTTGTTATTATTTGAGAAATTTGAGAGAGATCATTTTCGGTTTTGGGTGCCGACTGCGCAATACCCTTCCTCATACCTGAATGCCTATGTGGAGCTGAAGGCTGTCTTGGTTGAGGTCCTGAGATGGGCTTAGGAAGTTGGGACTTCGGCTGCTGATGTTGTGCTGGCATCTCAGAAGAGTGTTGAGGCTGTGTTTGCTGCTGTGCTCCTACTTCAGGTTGGGTTGATTGCGGACACAGAGTTGGCTGAGGTAGTGGTGGAAACTCCTGAATATCTGGTGGTGCGACTTGCTGGATGGATGCTGCCCTCTGTTGAGTCCAGTGCTTTTCTGAGCCCTCAGGTCTTTCAGAGTTTGGCAACCTCTGTAGTTGGCTGGATGCTCCCCCTGACAGTTGGCACATTTTGCTGAGGTTTCTCTGCTTTTATTGCAGGAGGCACTTTCGTGTCCCAAGCCACATTTCACACACTTCGGAGCATGATTACAATATGTTTTGGTGTGTCCATATTTCTGACACCTCGTGCACTGGGGAATAATTCTTTTTTTTCTCGGTTCTTCAATTTTTATTCTTGTGTAGTACAAGAAATCCATATTAAAGATGTTATCATTGTATGTCTCCTTAGAAATATCTACGAAGAACATAGCGGATCCGTCTCTAAACCTGAAATAGGAAAATACTACTCTGGGTACTTTTGAGTACCAAAGAATTTAATTACTACATCAGTTAATGTCAAATGATTAACTAAAGTAGTGGTGGAACTCCCAGTAGTGATTAGATTTGAGTAAAATACGTGGTAATGGTACTCAGAGTAGCATTTGCCCATCTCTGCTCTAAACTAGACGAAACAAGGTCAGGAATTAGCTCAGTGCTGAGTTAAGGAACTTTCTTTTGCTTAAAAACTAAGCCATCAATGTGCTCAGCGCTAAGTTTCGGGACTTTACCTCGCATGCTAATTAAAAGCATGCTAATTAAAAGCAGAAAACGTCTATTAAAAATATAAGTTAACCCCATCTTACTATACTCTTTCTGTTAGTTAATGTTCAATCATAATAAAGTGAACGATTCATTCTCAATCGCCTTGGTGCTCAGTTTTAAGTTTGAAAAGGGTATTGGAATATTTAAGTTCAAAATGTTCCCATTTACTAAAAATTTAAGAGAGAAATCAATGAGAAAAAGGATAAAACGATTCTTTTTGTTTCATTTGACTGTAGTTTATGTAGGTATTTGTAGTCTGTCTTTCCTCATGCTTCATTATACCCAACCTTCACCTTTAATAGATGAAGTGTTCCATATCCCTCAAGCTATCAGTTATATTAAAGGAAATTTTACTGAGGTATTATTTTGTATTAGTTATTTATAAATTATTCTTATCAATATTTTTAAACACCATTGTTGATTCTGTACTCATTTCATCTGTATGTTTTGCTTTTGTAGTTGTAGTTGCTAATGGGCTACTTCTAGTCCTACATTATGTTACTCTTGATACAATAAATAATATATTTAAATATCCACACAGTAAATTAAATTAATTTTATTGCCTGAAAATACTTAAACAATCTAATGTGAATTTTAATAATGTGTGCTATTTTTGTTATTTCAGTGGCACCCAAAAATTACCACATTACCAGGCCTATATCTGTCGACCTCTGCTGTTTTCAATGTAATTGCCTTTGTAGTAGATGTTCCAGTGGAATCGTTATGTCAACCGTTCTACCTCCGTCTTTTTAATCTTTTATCTTCTGTGTTTACTATGCATGTAATATATTCAATAGTAACGTTTGATGATTTCTCTTCTAGAAAGGTAATATCGAGTTATTTTTCAACTAAGCCAACAACTTTAGATAAATATTAAAAGTTATGATGTTAATTTAACTAAATTCAATTGAAGTGGTTAAGTTTGATTTCAACATGTCAGGAACCACATCGATCACAATTTAGACAAAATTCCAAAAGTGGCTGAGTATTGGTGACCATCTATATATGCTTGACCTCAGTTCAATTAGATTGTAAGGTACTTATTCTGTTTTCCTTCTTCAAGATGGTGGCAGATTTCAAGATCACCCAGAGCACAATATTTCAATTGGCCCCCTACCTTTGATAGTTAAATAATTACCTGCCACATCAGGAAGGAAATGTTGACCTGATTATATTTAATGCTTTTGTTAGATTGGGTCAGATATAATTTAAGTTTAAATAATATCGATATTACTTTAAATGGAAAAAGTGTAGTTGATATGGTGTGGTGTAATTACAGTCATATAAATACAATAACTGATTTAAAAATAAAGCATACAGTTTCAGGTTCAAAACACTTTCTTATAGAGATCACGCTCCATATTTTTCCAAATGCTATCCTCAATACTTCATTTAACAAACCAAATCACGGTTCTACTGTAGTCAAATGAGATAACTTGAAAAATTTAATATACTAGCAGCTAATTATGAATTCCCCTTGGGTAGGTTCTCTGAAACACTCTAAATCTCTTTAAATGATCCAAACTGATCTCTTTTTAGTTATCCATGAGACTTCGCATTTGCTGGGATTATTGAAAAAAATTAAGCTTTACAATAAATGTGATAAAAAAAAATAAACCTTTGTTCACCATTGAATGTGCATTGTCTAAAAAAAACGTTAAATTCAAATTGAAATCTAGGATAAAAAATTGTTATCATAACAGCTCTGTTGATAAATATTTTGCCGCTAAGAAGAAATTTAAAAATTTAATTAATTGGAGATTTCAAGTAGCAGTTTCATGGCCGCAAGTGCAGTTGAATATTCACGTCACTCTGTCTTTGTTACTATGTGATGTGGTTATTATTTAAAATTCTGGTGCAAGACTATATCAACAGTGACTATATAAACAGTGATACATTTTATGCCACATATGTTCAGGTTAGTAACTATTGATTTACAATGAAGCAGTAATAAATTAGTGCTCGTTCAGCAAGCCCAAGTGGCCCGTAATCCCTTACGGGTTTTTCCTTATCTGTAATAAGTTCACGGTCAAGACTCAAGAATGTTTGTTTGAAACATTGGCAATAAAAATCTATATCCATGATATATACAAGTATAAGTAATATTATATTTATTTTCAAGTTTTATTGTTATACATAACTTTTCTGTATCTATTAGAGGAAATGAGAATTCCAATTTTTAAGGCTTATTTTAAGGTATTTTTTCTATCCAATTTGAGAATTTGTCAGCTGACAAACATTTTCCTTTGTTAGAAAGGTTGGAAAATAACCAAACCTAACCCAACCCAAACAACGTTTACAAGTCAAGGCAGCTCTGTGCTAGATATAAACAAATTTTTCAATACTCAGCTATTATTGGCTTTCCATGGGAATCTGAGGATAACGTACTGTGAAGATGATCTTAAAATCTTTCACCATTGTGTACTAGTGAAACAGAACTAGTACCGATTACAACTCTTGACTTCAGTTGAGTCAGGAGTCTTACAGAGGAGACTCCTCAATATACTTTCAGATACAATTAGATTTTTCAGAATTGCATCTACAGTGTGAGCGATGTTATTGTGGTCCATTCACCATGTTGGAATGATACTTCTGAAGTTGTACCAGTATTACTATACAATTTTCACTCTTTCCTTTAAATTGGTATTACCATTTAATAAACTATCTCCTTTACTACCTAAAGAGATAGATAATCATTTGTTTCTTATATTCTTTATAATGTACACTCATCATTAGAATGTCAAATATTGTTTCCAAATTTTATGATAATTATGTCTAAAATTCCAAAATGTTCCTGTCTGATTTTCTCTGAATAATTGTTCAATTTTTCATTCATCTGTATTACTAATAGTGAACACTTTATAAAAATCAGTAAAATAAGTAAGTAAAATCAGAAATCTATTATTTAGACTGACAGAATGATTTTATTAATCATGAGTATTGATCGTATTTTCGTTTAATTCAGACAAAATCAGTAAATCAATTTACCATTGTACAAACTTCAACTTTGGATTTTGTCTGCATATTTGACACATTACAGGCATGGCAGAGTGGGTTTTTTAAAGCTAGTTTCAAACAGAACAAAAACATAGAAGTATGAAATAACTCAAGTTTTGAGTTTTTTAAACTTGCATTTTGGATTTTGTCTGCTTGACAGTCAGAAAATCACTGACATAGTAGATGAAGTATTTTTGTGTCTGTTCCAAACCTAATTTTAAAATTGACAAGAATAAGAAGGTATAAAATAACTTTAATTTTGAGTTGTTTTCAACGTTTTGGATTAGCAAACATTTTTAATTTCCCCTATCCTGATTGGCAGAGTCGTCAGTTTTTTATTCTAAACTGTAAGTAGTTTACTATTCAAAAATTGGGGAAAAATAATTTGATTTCTTTTCATTCTTGGACTAGTAGGAGGAGACCTCTGGCGTAATATACATGAGTGCTCAGGTACTCATCCATCTTGAACAGCATCTGTGATGATGGCTAAAATTGTGCTTCTTCTAGTAGAACAAATGCACTTCACATGAATGAATATTAAAATATTTAAAAAAAAAAAACCTCATTTCTTGTTAAATTATGATGAAATCAAATTAAAGTCATATTCTTTGGTTTTCAGTGTTATATTCATAATATATTATAATCATATTATCATTGACATATTTCTTTTTTTTATTTTAGGTGTTAAAACCGAAGAAAGCCTTCTGGGTGACCTTCAATTTATCTATATTTCCTATCTCCTATTTTTTCAACCACTTCTATTATACCGACACATTTTCAACATTGTTAGTACTAATGATGTACAGGCAACATCTACTAAATAATTTTGGAAAGGCAGCTTTGCTAGGTAGGTTTTTTTTTTAATTCTAATTACTGGATTTTTGTTTGTGTCAAATTTGATATACCTCCAATTTATTTATTTTATGTCATTAAGTGGCTTAAAAATATTATTGATTGGGGTAGTTTACCCTTAGTGCGTCTCCAAAAGAGTTTATATTAATTTGCTGATAATAGTGTTACAAGTCCTTTGTGACCAGTAAATAAAACATCTCTCTCAGCTGATATATGTTTACTCCTTGTACTTCACAAAAGTTTATGTATATACAAACACTCCCAACCGTAATGTGTCAATTGGTTAAATTACAATAATATGAAACACTTAAAAATAAATAAAAAGGTCCCATTAGTGCGCCTCCTAGAACAGTGGAGGTAAACTGCTTATTTTGCTCAATTATTATAACACTGGTTGCTAAGAACTGATAGGTATCATGAGGCCACAATTGTAAACTTAGCATAAAAGTTTATGCTAGTTATAAAATTAATTAAAGGTTTCTTTATCTTTACTTATCTTACTCCTTAAATCCTTCATAATCCACTCCTCAATCTTATGAAATTCTTGCCCTCTCAATGTTCATCATGTAATAGAGGACATACTATCTCTTCAAATCCTTTCTGTTTCCATCACCTCCTCTACTCTGCTTACAAGCAATTAATTAATGTAAATTAATTAATGTAAATTAATTTATTAAAAGCCAATGTTACGACCCGACTTCGGAGGTCTTTTTCTAGTCTTAGCCAGTTACTGAAAGCCAATCTGTGTTAGAGTGGGGAACAGGAAAAGTGAAGGAGTAGGGGAGTAGGGATTAGGGACAGCCTATATTAACTGGTCAAGGTACGTATGTATATACAGCTTTCAACTTTCATATAAAATCTATGGTTCCTCAGTCTAATAGGGCAAAAATGGAGGAAAGAACCATTATATATATATATATATATTTTTTTTGTTTTTATATTCTGCAGTGCAGAACATCTATAATAAAATTAATAATGTTAATTATATTAGCTTTTTGTATTTGAATAGCTTTAAATATAGTTTTAATACAAGCTTTTGTTATGCTATTAACTGAAATCAATTTGGTATATAAATTAGATAATTAGAATTTGTTTTAAAAATTAATCTTAATCAATTTAGTGTTTTAATGTAAATTATTTTGAAACCCTAGACACCTTAGTAATACAGTAAAATATCAATAATTCATTAAAAAGTTTCATTGGAAAAATTAATATTTTGTGTTGATCCAGTTTATATAGTAAAAATACAATAATGTAAAGTATACTTTATAATGGAATACATGTCCTCTAAAAATACTTATAAATTAATTTAATTGAATATTTAGTAAATAGTTGACCGTTGCATTATTAAAGAAGGAGATGGTCCCAGGTGGCGGTCATAAATAGATTAAATAGTGGCAAAACTATTTTATTAAAATCCAACGTTTCGACCCGACTTTGTAGGTTCAGGGCTAGAACGGACAAGATACAAAAAGATATAGAGAATTATGGAAGTTACATAATATTTAGACAAAAAATTATAAACAATGTGAATAAGCTTATTAAAATTATAAACAGTAATTACATTAAAATATAAACAGAGTAAGCTAAGTACCAAGATCCTAAACTAAAGTAAATAGATGGTAACAATTGTTGTAGTGTAATATATAATATATGCAATTGTGAATATACTCCTACAGATCTACAGGAGAGGTTGGAAGAAAAGGAAAAAGGATATAATATGGAATAATGGACATAAAGGGATGTGGAGAAAGAAAAGACAAAATGAAACCAAAAAATATATAAGTAAATAAAAATAGAGACTTGCAGGTGTGCTCAGCTAGGTATTTCACTTAGAACTGGAAAATCAGGATAAGAGTAGGTATTGGGGAAATTTGTTGACCTGTTTGGGTAATGATGAGGGGATAAGTAGTAAAAGTAAAAAAAAAAAAACTGGAAAACTACAGTATCTAAAATTTGAAGATACTATACCTATGAAATGATAAATTATAAGTATATACATATAAATATAAAATAGAATTAAGAAATTATAGATAGGAATAATGTGAATAAAAACAAAATTGAAAGAAGTAAAACATACATAGAAATAAAATATAAATATAGAAATAAGAGACCATACATTGCAGGACGAATTTAGAAGTATAGGGAGGAAAAAAATATGAATAATTATAATTATATTTAGTTGTACATATCACCAAGCCAACACTTATTATTTTTATCTATTTTCAATTTTTATTGATTTATTTTAAGTATATACACATATAAATATAAATATTCAATTAAATTAATTTATAAGTATTTTTAGTTATGTTCAGTTCATTTTGTTTGAAAGAATATAGAATTTTTAGAGGACATGTGTTCCATTATAAAGTATACTTTACATTATTGCATTTTTACTATATAAACTGGATCAACACAAAATATTAATTTTTCCAATGAAACTATTTAATGAATTATTGATATTTTACTGTATTACTAAGGTGTCTAGGGTTTCAAAATAAGTTACATTAAAACACTAAATTGATTAAGATTAATTTTTAAAACAAATTCTAATTATCTAATTTATCTACCAAATTGATTTCAGTTAATAGCATAACAAAAGCTTGTATTAAAACTATATTTAAAGCTATTCAAATACAAAAAGCTAATATAATTAACATTATTAATTTTATTATAGATGTTCTGCACTGCAGAATATAAAAACAAAAAATATATACACTTGACAGGCAAAAAATTCAACCCACTTGATTTTTCCATGTTTTCATCTAAAAATATTTCTGTAAAGTTGTATTTGTATATAATACATGGTATTTGTAGATAATACTTAGTATATATGGAATTTTATAATCTTTTTTACCTTTATATAATAATCAAAATGTGATTGGGTAAGAAAGATTAGAGAAAAAAAAATTGAAAAACGAACCATTATTATTCTAAAAGAAATTAATTACTACTTCTTGAAGACGCCTCGGCATACTTTTTACCAGTCGGGAAATGTCCCTTTGCTGGAGGATAACCCATTCCTCCTGAAGAGCCCTTTCAAGGTCCTGCAGTGTATCAGGAAGTGTTGCACACGCTGTTATTCGTCTTCCGAGGTTTAAAGCCATTAATCCATACTCATTTCATCTTCTCCGAGCGGTAGGTTCAGAAATTTGCACACCTCAAACTTCTTCGAGCTGATGAATCGCTTGAACAACGGTAAGGTGCCGGTTTTGTAAAATTCTCAAAGTCAAAAACCGGTCATCCCGTGGTTCTGTTACCCTAGGCCGTCCAGAACCGGGCCTTCTATTGTAAGAACCAGTTTCCCGAAAACGTCTGACGATGTCTCATAAAGTTTCATTTGGAACTCCGATGGCATTAGCTGCATATCTAATGGAACGTCCATCATCAATAAGTGCCACACCACACGCAACATCCCCAGCACTAAGAATCATTTTTAAACTTAATATTGAAAAAATTAAAACCCGGAGACTAAGAAATGTGCTGCAAGAAATGGCACTGAACTAATGATACTGAATAAACATTTTGATTCCATAGAAAGTAAACATTGGAATCTAGAATCATTTCATTGAATTAAGGATTAAGGGTTATTGTCCTCTATATTAACATTCCTAATTGAAAACAAACAAAAAGATTACCTATTTATTCATTAAAAACAATAGACCAATCGAAAGCAGAAATATTTTTAGATGAAAACATGAAAAAATCAAGTGGGTGGAATTTTTTGCCTGTCAGTTTATATAAAGATTCTTTCCTCATTTTTGCCCTATTAGACCTTGTACCTAGTACCTTGACCAGTTAATATAGGCTGTCCCTACTCCTTCACATTTCCTGTTCCCCACTCTAACACAGATTGGCCTTCAGTAACTGACCAAGACTAGAAAAAGACCTCCGAAGTCGGGTCGAAACGTTGGCTTTTATTAAATACTAGTAGGCCCGTGCGAAAAATCAGTTGTTACTTTATCCATAAATATAATCCACAAAGGAAACAAAATTAATTTAAATCTTCATTTTTGTTTGGAACCAACATATTTACAAATTTCAATAAGCTACATCTTTGCGAAAAATTGTCCGATTTCAATGATTTTTTTTCCTTTTGTAGACAATTAAGTAATGCTTTATGTAATCATAGGAATAACCGAGGGAAAAGTGTGTAATTTTTTATATAATCATAGGAATAACCAAGGGAAAAGTGTGTAGTTTTTTTTTCCTTTTGTAGACAATTAAGTAATGCTTTATATAATCATAGGAATAACCAAGGAAAAAGTGTGTAATTTCTTAGTTATTCAAAAATAAACTTCTTTTTTTTCATAACTTGTTTGCCTGAATTTTCTGGGTGATTGGAATATTTTTCCCGCCTGAAGGAGAAGGAAGCCTTCGAAATTGGTGGCTCAATTTTGAGATTTGGTAAAAAATTAATGATGATATGGCTTACCGATCAAAAACATCATCGATAAATAATATAAACTCCTCCTGTCTCGATCATAGAGACCTCAAGTCGACGAAATGAGACATGTATCCAATGACAGTAGTACAATTAACGTCAGGTTGTGTGGATGCGAACCCCATGCCTTGCGTTATCCCGAAAATGGTACGTTTTTGGGCTTAAAAACGCAGGATTTGATAGTTCCGGAGGAACTATCCGGGTCTTGCTGTATGCATCAAAATCTTCAAGGTCCAATTTGTCCCGCATCGATCTACAGACCTACCACCGTTCCAGTATTGAAGGCTAGCAAAATGTTTGTATCGACTTTATTTATTTTAGAAAGAAAAACAAAAGCGGAGAATACGATTCGCTAACTCCCCATGAAATTCTGAATCCAACGGTACCCCATTCATGGTATTTGAGCATGACAGGAGCTTATATTTGGTACAAAACCGATTTCGAGCCTTACTGTAATAATATATGTACGGATATTTACATTTGCTTGTAAGCAGAGCAGAGGAGGTGATGGAAACAGAAAGGATTTGAAGAGGTAGTATGTCCTCTATTAC